TCGGTTCCACCAGAAAAAAACTCGTTTTACTGGAACACTTGTTGCTTATAAAAAATGTATTAGTTAATAATCGATATATTTTTTTTTTTTTACTTGTAAGTTCTCCCCGCAATGCTTTTCGTTTTCTAGAAGTTGTACTATTGGTAAAGTCGATCGATACGTTTAAATCATCATCCTGGTCGACCCGGGTCGACTCGGGTCAAACAAAAACGTGACCCGGGTTTTTTTGAATTAGGACTCGTGTCATAAAAATGATAGTCCCACTCGATAAAAAATTCGAGTGGATCAAACAACCCGGTCAACTCGATCGGCTCGGATAACTACCTTTTTCTTTAAAAACAAATCTATTTACTTTCGTACTACGTATGGAACAAATTGATTTGGATAAAAAAAAAAATACATGGATCATCGAAATCATTCATACATGCAATTCAAGAATTTTTTACATTCGTTTATGCGACATGCACGGAATTTCGGAAGTTCATTGACTTGCTTAAAAGGTGACACAACCCCATTCTTACTTTGTAAGCGAACACTTTTTTGGTTTAATTAACTAGTCCTAATTTTTGTGGCACATTCTGCGCATCTTAAATCGGAAAATTTCTACATAATAAGTTTAGTACAGCCGATTTTGGTTTGTTTTGCGAAGGGATACACAAGATATATTTATGCACTGCGCTTTATAAACCTTCTCGAACCGATCAATGATTTTGTCGGAGAATTTTTGATTTGTTAATGCGTGAAATGATTTGATGATGTGTTACTTTGTGAGAGTCCCCTTTTTTCATATATATAAAAATGGATATTGTTAACGTTATTCCCGAAAGCTTTTCATTGATAGATGTTCTTGTTCAGCGATTTACTTTACACAAATCCGTCTTGTGCAGTTCTTTTTACTTATTTCTATAAAAAATTAAATAAAATATTTAGTGGTACAAGTATGAATGTGTTATATCTAAAATTGGCAGGAGGCTTATTATTTGTTCATTTAGTGGCATGAAAAAACTTTTCGTAAAATCAAAAAATTTCTGCCAATCCTGACGATTATATAAACCCCAAGTTTCCTCTCAGGTTCAGGCTCATAGCTAAACGAGCTATCCTTTTGTCATCGGACAGAAGTATCGATGAAAAATAATGTAATGCTGACATGAATTGAGCTCGGTATAATGATCTAGTAAAAAATTTGGTAGGTTATTGGGAAGTTTTTTCGTTATTTCTCTATAAATTTACGAAACAATAATCATCATTGTTATAATATATTATTTTTTTTAGCTAATGTTTATCGTACAACCAATTTTATTGCCAATTCAAAAACATATGAAGATTACAAATTACTTTATCGTGCTTCAAATCATGGATACATTTATTTTCTATTATGACACAAATTATCGTTAAAATCTTTATCAACCTGGCGTTGAAACCGTTTCTCATCGTATTATTTTAATTGTGCCAAGCAGTATATTGGTTTTTTTTGTTGTGATATTAGTTCAATATTTCATCCTTTTTTTTTTTTATTTTTTTGCTTTCCTCAACATTTATGTTACATGACATGATCTCAATTCTTTTTACTTTAAAAAAAAACGCAATAACTTATTCCAAGATTTAAATTCTCCTTATGATTTTAACACGTATACACGAATACTTCCTGTGTTTTAAATTTTAAAAATGTAAAAATCTCTTTTTTCATCGGATCGAAAAAGCTACTCATCTAATAAGCAATAAAATATATCCTAATTACAAAGATAAAAATTGAATTTATCTTGAAATTACAAAGTGAAAGGAGAGTGAGAAAATGTTTTCTTTCATTGCGTGATAAAAAATTTTTTTAATTCCTGTCAAACGACGATGATGACCTGATCTGGATTTACAGGTGGATGCATGTCGTGGGTAATTTTTCTTTTTCTGCATTAATATTGTTTGACATTTTTTTATTTTTTTTGAATGATAAAACCATGTATAGAATAAAATAAAAAAAATATATATATATATTTTTTTTTATAAACTTGCTTTTCCCCAATAGACTTATATCTAAAAAAGGAATGATATTGAGGTGTAACAATAATTATCATTTTACCAGGTTCAAACATTTTGTTTAAAATATTTAACCTTTTTTGGATGGTGCCGGTCGATGTTGATACCTTTTAGACGATGACCGTAATTCCGATCTACTCGGACCTCTCATAGATGATAATGAAGATCTAGGCATCTTTGGGTCATTTTGCTCAGCCCTATTAGTAATAAACAAAATTAGTTAAGATTCGTAAATCTACATTGAATTTGTTGGGGTAAATGTGCATATAAATCAAATCTATGATGAAAAAGGTTTTATAACGGGCTGAATTATTATTTTTTTTTTTTTTATAAAATCATTTGTTTTGGAGGAACCGGTTTTTTTAACCACCCGAGTTTCATATAACATGGCAGCTAACTAAATAAAATTTAGGCGCGGGGCGTCGCAGTATCCGCAGCGCAACGCGATTTTAAATCTTGCGTTGAGGAGAAAGAAAAATACTGAAAGGAGGAGTTGAATTCTCGCACAGATATATCTCAGAGATTCGATTTCTCGTCTCGTACTAGATCCAAAAGGATGATATAGAAGTGTCATTAACAATAAAAAGAATAATCTTTTTCTTCGGAAAATTATAGCAAATCTTTGGTGAATAGATATACTTCACTCGGACCGATCACCGTTTTGTCGGAAAATTTTTGATTTGCTGAATTTCGATTTTATAAAGTGAGTGATACACATTGTTCTTTATTCATTGTCTGAATCTTCAGACTGTATCCTTAAAAGATTTATAGATGGAAATTCAAAGCCGAACAACAAGGTTTATACTTGATTAGTAATATTCATTGCTTCATATTGTTTTCTATTTCAGAAGTTTAAGCCGTGGACAATTTCCTTTTTATGAAAATCTCCCTCTTTATTAACTTTCACCCCATGTCTTTGTGAGAAATGTATTTTTCAATCATTTCTATAAAAAATCAAATGCCGGTATCTTTTGGGTATAGCTTCGATAATTAAAAATTATTTTTATTTTAGTTAGGCTTTTTAGATCAATTTGGCCAAGGTCTTCCGCGTGACCAAATTCCTTCGGACAAGTAAGTCCTTGGTTATAAAATTGGAGGGTTTTCGCTAAACAAGAGAAGAAGGTTAATCCTTCGTAAAGGTTCGGCGAAACCTGATAATTACGCCCGATCCGAATCCGAAATCTAGGCGATATTAGTTACGCCTCAACAAGGTCCGATTGAGTCCGATACTGCCCAAATCCGAAATTCAATCCGAATTAATTGAAATTCTCCGAAACTTAATTATTCA